GCTGTTCCGGGCTTTTCCAACTGGCATGCGTCACTCCTATGCCGACCGGTGACGTCACTGGTGGAAACACTATTTCAAGGTTAGTGGGCAGAGCCCGTCGCATTGCCGTAGCGGCCGCCGTCTGGCAGTTCGAACATGAATACGGCTGCGGTGCCCCTGGTGGCTTTGGTGGCCTTCCTGGCCACACCGGCGCTTGCTGGATGGCGTGAGTATTTTTAAGGGCTGTTGCTCTTGTTTTTGAAAGGAGGAGTGAATGCCCAATAGTTACTTTTAACCGAAAACCGAAGCACGTGTTTGCCTTTCTGTCCGGTTTTTTGACCACTTGGCCTCATTTTCATGTTTATACCCAGCATGCTCCTGACATTTCCATGGGGCTTTCGTGCCGTGCCGTGCCGTGGAGATTATGCTTAAAATCTTCTGCCCCTCCTGACCTTGTACAAACATCACAATTTGAACTTTCCATTAGCTGAGAGCGACCGTCTCGGCAGAATACATTTTTGGATACGAGACACTGGTACGAATGTCACGGACAAAGTCAATTTCTCTTTTAAGCGTCAGTTTCTGCAAGTTCACGGTAGCAGTGGCCAGATGGAAAAAGGGTTGTTTTGTTAAGGGCGGCTAAGTGCTCTATATTATGGATGGGGTTAGTTAATTTTCTCCTCTTGGTAGGAGTGCGAAGGTGGTCTGTGCAAAAATCGTTTATTGCGTCTGACAGGTTTTTTGTAGAAAGCCGCCTCAGTCCGACCGCATCAGCTTCCGTATCGGACCACCTGAAGCCGAGTCATATTTGACTTGAGCGCATTACGTATGGGATTTTCCATCCCCATGCTTGCCAGTACCGAGACGGTGGTCTTACTGCAGATGCACACTTTATGCAGCACCGGCAGACATCCTGTTTGTAATCGAAAAAAGCAATGATTTATAATTTTGCGTTTCATCGCATTTTGGCTGCTCTTGGCCGAGAAATCCAATGTTGCTGCATTAATCTTTTGATGAAATGCACATTTGCTGCACATTTTCGGGCAACTGGTTATATCATTATGATCATTTACCTATTAGCCCTAGTTGATGAGCCATTACTTTTAATCAAATCACGGTGTGATCAATCTTAATTGATGATATTTAAGTATGATGTTAGCAGTACTCAATTTTCGGACTAAGCATCATGTCATAATCAAACTGGTAATGATTATGAGTTATGAATGACTAACTGTTATTGATCATTCCCTTCTCGGCTGAGCTGGACGTGAGCCCTCTAAGTTCACACGGCGCCGGTCATTCTGCCATTCGTTATAATGTTCGCCACTTACACATTTCTTGTTTAAATACCCCACAGGCCTAAACGAAACATCCCACTTTCATGTCTTGAGTTTTATATCGCCTTTATTCTGCACGTGAGTTCAAGGTTACAGTCGCGAGGGCACCAAAACAAAATCTCCGCCACCGCAGCGTCCAACCTATAACACAGTCATCACGTTTGCAGCGCCATCTGATCCGAACCAATCCTATCGAATGCAGTCGCCGCGGGAGGCGAGTGTACTTGCCAGCAACGGCTGTCCCGACTGGCAGCAGCCATTCAAGGGCATCTGCGGCGCAGGCCGCGAGTGCTGCTTCAAAGGTAACTTTGCAATTAACTAACTTCACATACTAAAGTTATGCAACTTAGTAACGATAAGGAACTAACCAAAAGCATGCAAAGTGTTCAACTTGTACAACGCATCTAGTCGCTATCACATTGTGCCTAACATTTTGCAACTGCCTGCGATCTACTGGCGGTAGATTCAATATCGCATAACAGCGGGATGTCTCTGTGACTGTAGTGGCATATCAGTAACTTATGCTTTGTCCTTGTGTGAAAATGTAGCGAAAAATGTCACGCTCAGCCTAGCTTGCGAGAACCGACATGAGTATGTCATTTATCAAACTCACCTCAGTGCTATCGAGCTATACACTTGTTGTTAGCATGAAACATCATGTTTTGTGTGACCTGTATTTGCCTCTTTATTCAGCTATATGCAGTGGCCAATGATAATTCAAGTACAATTCGTGTATCATCCGTCTGGCATGCGTTTGCTGATGTAGTGCTTGTTCTACTTAAAACGAGCCGCAACCAATATCACCTTGCAAATAAGACAGAATATATTCTGAACGAACAGCCACCATCTTGTGTTGTAAGTCAACGCCAAAGCGTCATTTGCCGCTGACATGTTGTGATCTGGTTAATGGTCATCACCATCACTTCAGAGCGGGAGACAGCCTTTACCAGCATAACGCCACGCCCGCACTGACCACAAATCTCCTCATCCCATTGTCAGCTCCATGGCGTTCAAAATCTGACGTCATTGTTTCTTCTTCAGACTATCAAAACCACAAGTTAAAGTGTGGTCCAATTTCGGGGGCGATTGTACTCGGCCGCGCAGTTGTGGCAATGCACCTCAGCACAAGAACGCCTTCTGCCCGAAGAAAGGCCAGGTCTGCTGCATCTGGCTCTTCTGAAGAGGCCGGAGCGAGGCACAGCGTGACCTGCGCGGGATCTGGAGAGAAGCTGGCGATGATCTGGGGTATTTTGAGAATATCTGAATCCTGAAGTTGTGCCGGACGTTATCTGAAGGGAATTTAATGGTGATGAGAGCGTTGGTGATTGTCTGCAAGTAGACTGGACATAATTTGGGGCGATGGTATTGTCTGCCAACTTCGGATACCAACTGGAAAGAAAGTGAGCTGGAACTTATTTGAAGTGTTATAGATATGATCATGGGGTGTTGGGAAGGCATTCTGGAGATGTTTCAAATAAGATCTGAGCCCTTTTATGCTTGGCGAAACCTATCCGGACGAAAAGAAATTGCACCCTAAATGGACATCGTTATATAGCCAGTGATATAACCGCTGTAATATCGGAGTTTTATGCTTTGGCCGAGCTTAGGCACGTACCACATGGTGTCGCAGTTATTCACAAGTGTGCACTTTCTAAAGGGCGCTGCTATAATGAAGAATATATAATACGCCTGGTTTTTAACCTGGTCTTATGACCTATGACTATCTTTATTGGTGTCGAACGCGAGCAAAGTTGTGCTTGCATGCATTGGAGTGGTTCCTTTGAGCTTTTCTGTGCATTTACACTAACATAAGATATTCTTTGCGTCGAATCGCGTGTTTTTGTTGTTGTTGTACAGAGAGACGAGAACACCCTGAACCAATTGCAAACACCTGAAAGCCGACTGTCGGTATGCCAATCCGCCGTAACCCTCTTATGAGCGCGCCGTTAGCAGACACGCTGGATTTATTGGGAGTTGGAGAAAGCTTCGGCAACGAACCGTTAATAATGCGGCGGGGCATCGTTAAGCTGAAGAGTTTGACCTTTAAGTTGACCTGACACCTTACGTGTCAGGTCAACCTGAATGCTCTGGAACAAGAAATCGGATCACAAATATGCGGCAAGGCAGCTTGGGCGTTCACTAGTGCTCAGCTTAACCCGATCCCAACATATATATATATATATATATATATATATATGTATATATATATATATATATATATATATGTGTGTGTGTGTGTGTGTATATACATATATAAATATTTATGGATGCCATTAAAGAGAACGTCAGTCTGTTCATCGTTGCATGCGGTGTTCAGTAGGCTGATAAAGCCACATGCCATGCACTCATGATGGGCACCTTACCACCAAACAGTAGCCACGTTCTAGCCCAAATCATCACTATGGCTTCACCGGCGTACGTTGCTTCCTGGCTTGCAGGCGTGACCCTCGTAACCACAGCAACGCTCAAAGGTCACGGATGACAGGACGGACGCTCGGGCTGGACCGGAGCCTTTGACAAGCTGTCAAAGGTCACGTGACGGATGTGTGACCTTTAGCCGACAGCCCACTCCACGCGACACGTGAACCGCTCAGCGCCGCTGCCGAATGACGCAACCAGGGGGAGCATCATGCCTGCAGAATCGTGTGCTCACTGCGAACTCGCGCGCCCGACAAATACCAGTGACGTCAAGCATGAAGCGGGAAATTAGCTGTCGATCGACTCACACTGGTGGACATTCTGCCTCCCGCGCGCGGTTGTCGGAACACCTGCGGCTTCTTTGCAGTTGTTTCACGCAGAATCGTATTTATAATGCAATCGAATTTATTTCATGTAATTTATTTTATTAATTTATTTTGTTAATTTATTTTATTAATTTATTTTATTAATTTATTTTATGTAATTGAATTTAAATTTTGGCAACCGGACTAAAATCACGGCACTTGTTGTTCCACATCCCAACCCCACCACACCCTAGCCCCGCCCCGCAAGCCGGTGCGGCACGGGTGAATAATCAGGAACCGAATAAGATCTGCTCGGATATGGCCGCGGCGGTGCTGCCAAACAAGCAAAACTGAGCTGAGCAGAAATACACGTTGTTCAGACATGATAAAAAATGAATATACAAATGCGTGGCAAACGCTAGCAATGAAAAGTATAAAACTATATAAATAAATAACAAATAGAATAAAATAGCATCAGTAAATATGTAAATGAATAACAAATACATGGAGTTAGATTTGCTGCGCGGGGCTTTGCATTTATTTCTGATGTCATCGGGCTTGAACGTGGCTTTAGGATGACCTGAAGACATTCTGAAGGTCATCTCGAATCTGGTATGAATTTCAGCGGGTTTATGAAGGCTGTGAGATGATATGGAGATGACCCAGAGACCACCAAGCTCCGGATCAGACCTGGGAATGATATGGACCTACGATAAATTTAAATTTGATCTATGAGATTGTGTTCGATTGCTGGTATGCTGGCTCATGTTGCAGCCGACTGTTGTGGATCATTGCGGCTAGGTACGAACAATGTGGAGCAAAATGCAATGCCAAAACTGATAACTTGACGAATGCGTTTGACCAGATGGTATTGAAAAGCAGACGAGGCCGTCATTTCATGAGTTGCGTCAGCGAATTTGGAGGAAAAGTTAAGATTTGTTCATGACGCATATGCGAACCTTCACCACACATGGTTGGGGAACTGAGATGCGCTAGTTGACAGTCTTACCTGAGGTCGCATCAGCTGTTCTTCAGCACATTGCCCCTGTATTTCGGGTACGCGGATAGAGTGACATGGCCACCTGCATTATTGCAGATAGATTAGACTGCATTATTGCAGATAGATTGTCGTTGCAGATACGTGCGAGGAGACCCATGCAGTCAGTGGCTTCCAGTAGCACCGCCTCACGAGCCGCACAGGTCTGCAGGAATCCGGCTCCCGCTCGAGCGGCGGAACGAAAAGAAGCTGCCTATGTCAAGTCTGCGAAGACCACATGTGTCACACATCGCAGCATTGGATGGCGCAGACTGCGGATGTCGTGATGCTATGACACTAATAGACGATTTCAGGTATCTTAGGGTGAGTTAAGTCCGTTAAGGTCCTCTAAGTTAAGCCCGCTTCAAATCACGGAAAATAAACGGCAGCGTCAATTTGTTTCAACGATTCCTTGTAGTTAGTTTTATTGTATGTACATCATCATTCCGGAGGAAACCGCGGCTCCTGTGCGACACTATTCGTTTAAGTAGATAGACATCGATTGCATTAATTCGAGCATTTACATGACGTTAATTGACAGCGATTACAGCGGCATGATGATGTATGGGTAAGAAGCATAACCTTAATAAAGCTATTTGCTAAAATCACAAAAAGAATGCTGTAAAATGCGAACGCATTCTGCACGCAACAAACTCAGGTGTGTATCACCAACTTATAGGATAATGACGGTTAAGAGTATCCATAAAAAAGCCACTGGATCACGGGGTGATACTCTCCCGAAAGACGACGATAACAATATGATTATGGTAAACTGTACTCCTTTGATATAAACCGCGAAACCTGGAAAAGCATAAACGGTCGCACCGGGAAAGAAACAACGCAACTGTACATATACCGCACGGCATCCCATCCCATCCCATACCCATCCAGGTATACACTGTCGATCTTTCGCTGTCCCGTCACTGTTGGTGTGCGCCGCGTTTGAACTTCGCTGGCTGCAAGATCAGTGCATCCTCATTGATCGAACGACACGCATGGGGCACTGAACTGCCTTCGACGCATCGTCATGGTCTGCCCAACTCCAAGAGCTCATGGGGTGTCCTAGTCGGAGCGCGCGCGGCATACGAAATTACACAGTCGTTCTTGCACACGTAGCAAATTTCTTCTCCCACTCACGGTCATCGCTTTACGGACCAAGTGCGCAAGAACCGATTGGGCTCCAGCGAGTCCAAGAACTCCTCTCCGCGGGCGTCCGAACTGTTGGTTCGCAGGTGGGCGGTAGATGGCGGTGGGTGACCTTGGGGGTTTAGAGAATCCGGGTAAGGCGTGTCATCTGGAGCCCGCGGCGGAGACGGCGCCAACCGCCCTGGTCGCAGCCTGAAACTGAGGAACACGACAAATCAACTTAACTCCCTTTCCCCTGTGACATATCTGAGCACCTATACGCGCAAGCCTCGCTTCATGTCGAAACAGACGTCTCCTGGACCAGAGCCTGCCTACAAAATAATGCAAAACGTTTCTGTACACGTGTTCCATGCTGCCTCTGAGGCCTGCGAGGTCGAATCTTTACTGGTTTTTCGCTCGCGGATTAATATGGGCTACAGATAGATTTTCCATCATCATCATGTCCGATAGCGAAGGTCCGACTCGATCTTTGCCGTTTTTTCGCTTGCGGATGGATATGGGCCACAGATAGATTTTCCATCATCATCATGTCCGATAGCGAGCTCCAAAAGTACAGCAAATTACAAAGTGATGACGCCACAGGCGCGACGTATCACGGGATAAAACGTTCACCGGAACGACTTACCTTCACCAACACATCCGCCACCCGTGAGGCCTTGGCCATTCTCGCCCTCTAGCCATCAGCCATCACACGGTCATCAGTCCTTTTCGAATATTATCCGTCTGTTCACTTTTCCCGATGCTTTGGATTAATTTGTTAAGGTTTAACAAACTGAGACACGGACTCGCTGTTTGTGTTTTGACAATGGCAAATGGTCTCGTCCCAGGGATAAAGGCCTCTGCTCATGGAGGGATAAGAGTGCAGTTATTATACATCTATGGAAACAACACATGCTGCTATTTTGGGTGAATATTGTTATGGCCTCCTTTGTTGCGTTTGAAGTCGATACCTTTTTAGTCCCACTTAATCTGGCCAATACTGATTCAAGGTACCATGCTTTGTTTCCTGTTCGTGCCATATTTATCCTAGGCAGAGTAATGCAGCAAATATCTGCCATGTTAAGGGTGCGATAACCCACATCTACTATTCAAAAACCCCAGCTCGTTAGTTTCTCTGCAAGAATGGTAGGTAAGTGGGCAAAAGCCCTAAGTATGGAGCAGCTTCGAAACAGTGCCTTTTAGAGCCCGAGCCCGGAGCGGAGCCCGACTTTTTGTACTTTTCACTTATTGTTAGATGAGTCGCATGCGACTTCATCACTACTGTCAGTTTACTCGAAATCCTTCTGAATAGATAAGAATGTGTAGTATTTCAAGTTACCACCTATGCAGGCGAATTTTCGTTTAACTCTTGCTCACCAATATGGCAGAATTACATTTCATTTGCCTTGTTTCTTCCAACGTGTGTGTTCCGTAATGTTTGCAACGCATTAATGTGTCGAAATGTTTGGTAATAATTGCTACGAAAACTTGAAACACTCTGTTTCGACAAAATGATGTGCGAACATGGAGCCTTCATCCCGCAACTTCAAACTCGCCTGTGTCATATGCTACAGTGGCTCTTTTCGAGGCGCACTTTGGCTGTGAGAATGAGAGCATCACATCGTTCATAGTGACGCACTGACCCGATTTTAAACCAGTGCGCTTCTCGGTAACAGGCCCTTGACGCCCGCTGGGCCAATCAAACACGTTCTTTCATTCGCACCAGTAGAGGTGCGCACGAGGGATGTCACAACGACGGTGGTTGCGACTGCAGTGAAAAAGCGTATTGATGTTGCAAAACGTTAACAGCGTACTTTGAACTCGATAATTATCAAAATTAATACACTCATTACGGCTGGACAGCGCAGTGGCACTACCCAGTGCTATTCTAGGACATAAATGGTTTCGAGGCTTCACTAGAGTATGCTTTAAGAACATGCCCCAAAGGCGGGACACTCCCTTTAACACTTTTAAGTCATTGCATGTGTTAACAGTCTTTCTTTATCTTAGTCGAGTGATAACGAGCACAACACTTCAAATGATTTCTTACCCCTTTACGTGGTCAATCTGCGGCATATCCGACGGCGACTCGCTGCAGAAGCTCATGGTGGCCACGCCCACTTCGGTTCCATCTCCCAAACTATTGGTCACCGACTGACGGCGAACGTTGGGGCCGACCAATGGGCGCTCAGGGTTGAGCACCGCCGCGAGCTGATTGGCCGCTCGGCTGCCGGCCGGGTAGTTGAGGCTACCGTAGCGCTTATGCGAGCTGGGCTGGGCGGGGCTAGGGTCAGCGCGCCTGCGCACCAGCGTCTGCGACAGCTGCTTGGCGTCAGCCATGTAGTGCCCGGGAGAGACCTGGGTCGCGGAGAGACGTCTGGACGGCTTGCTGCGAGGAGAAACATGCAAATTCTGATACATGTCATCAGGCACGAAGACACCGACACAATGGCAGTGTTCTACTTGCCCACCTGCGTTTCGGTGATGTGTTTCCCTTTCCTGCATGGAAAGTTTTGTTGCAGTATGGCTCACTTCTCCGGAAGGCCAAAGGTGATACCGGTATGGATAATTGGGTGGGGCCAGACCGGATCCACATTCGGATCCAGACCAGGTCCGGATCCACCACGGTATGCAATTAATTAACAGTAACGGCCGGAACCAAAGAGGGACACCTTGTACAACAGGCCTTACGGTATAGCTCCAGCTTGCGATGCTGAACCCCCGCAGGACAACTAGCATCCTGCTTCCTTCAACTTCCAACTTCAAGCAACTTCCAACAGCAAGCAAGAGCGCGGGACAAAAAAAAGCGGCGAATCCACCGCTTGGATATCGCTGACCGGTCCACTGACCAGTACAGCGGCGTCTGGAGCACCAACGTCAGCCACTGACCAGTACAGCGGCGTCTGTAGCACCACCGCCAGCGGCTCGCTCTGCTGGACCCGCTTCTCCACCATCTCGCGACTCGACCGCCCGCCGGCGTGCTGTGACGTCATCGGCGAGCCGCCGCTGACGTCACTGTTCACAGTAGGCGGCGGCGTGGTGCTGTAGCCGCTAGCAGCCGGCGTCATCGTCAGAGGAGGGTACGGGGACGTCTTGCGGTCCCTGGCGGGTATCGGAGGCGTGCTAGTGCCGGCAGTGGCGGATTGGTGGGGATGCCTGTCCTGGATACGGAGCGCTAGGTAAGACAGTCATGTGCATATCAATCGCCAAAATCGAGGGGTTTCATGTGCTCTGCAAGTGATTCACATGGGGAATTTGGCCGAGACTTGAAGCGAGTATTGCTGTGTTTGTGTCTGTGTCCTGGCTTGGTAGGAAACTTTCGTTGAACGAAAATGGAAGGTAATGGGTACAAAAAGCATAATATTGTGAAGCATAACAGGTACATTGATCACGCTTGGACAATGAATGCGTTCACTCGCTGGAAAGTGATTAATGTGGACCTAGAAAAGCTGCAGAGCTCGTATGTATAGCAAAAATTAGGTTGTGTCTTTATCTTGCCGCTCTTACGTCGAGAATGTGCTTCAAGGTAGGATGCATAACTACGTTCAGCTGTTTTCACTTTCTGCAGAGGTAGCGCAGAATACGCTTGAATGTTTGGTCATAAACTACATTCGCTGCGAGTGCGTCATAAGCTTTAACCTATTACCTGTTATTAGCTTTGAGCTATGAGCCAGTCATAAGCATTACACAGCGTTTCGCGTCGCATACGCTACGCGGAGAAGAGCATGAGCAACAAACGTCGGTAAAGGTGGCAACACCAGACCCTTCTCAACCACCGCTCCTGCGCGCCACACCGTGCCTCCAACGCACCTCTGGCAGCTCTTGCAGCAGAGGATGCCGAGCGTCAGGGCCATGAGCAGGAAGATGGTGAGCGAGAGGCCGATGATGATGAACTTGAGGTTGGTGAAGAAGCCGCGACTCTCCTCGACCGCCGGCCACATCCCCGCCACGCGCACACCCTGGTCACCGCCTGAGGCCATCTCCGGGTCACCGCTGCCCAGCCGGCTGCAGGCAGAGGGACACGGCGCGTCAGGACCCCGTCGCGCGGAGTAGACATTCTAAACGAGTAGACAGTCTACAGCCGGTAGATAGTGTACTGCTAATGGACAATATACAGCTAGAAGATAGTCTCCACTAGAAGTCTACAGTTAGCAGACAGCCTACCGCTAGTAGATATTCTGCAGCTAGTGGATAGCCTGCAGTAGTAGAAAGTTTACCGCTGGTAGATAGTCTACGGAAAGCATAAATTTTACACAAGAAGGTAGTCTTAGTCAAAATGTTAGTCAAAAGTATACACAAGTAGATAGTCTACCGTTAGAAGAGAGTCTAGAACTAATAAATAGTTTACACTAGTGGCTATAACCAACCCCCATGACCGCGATGAAATAGTGTGACGGCCGGAGCAGGCGATCATAGATGCAAGTCATATATTCGACGCCCAACCGACCCTTTGCTATAACCCTAGCGGCTGCATGAGGGGCTGTTTACCAAGTGACCATCTGTGTTACACCGCAGCCAAGTACAAAGCTTTTACATATAGGGCGTTGGCCTAGTACAAGAGTAGATAGTCTACACCAGGAGATGGTCTACAGTTATCAGATAGTGTACCGCTAGTAGATAATCTAGAGCTGGTAGATAGTCAACACTAGTAAAAAGTCTACAGCCAGTAGATAGTCTACAGCCGGTAGACTGTTTACACAAGTAGAAAGTCTACGTTAGTACAAAGCCTACACTAGTAGATAGTCTACCACTAGAAGATAGTCTGCAGCTAGTAAAAAGTCTGCACTAGTAGCTGCAGACTAGTCAACACTAATAGACAGTCTACAGCTAGTAGATAGTCGACAGCCATTAGAATGTTTATACAAGTAGAAAGTCTACGTTAGTACAAAGTCTACTCTAGTAGCTAGTCTACCGCTAGAACATAGTCTACAGCTAGTAAATAGTCTGCACTAACAGCTGTAGACTAGTCTATTCCTGAGAGCGGAAAATATGACGCATCTTTCCTTTGAGAAAAAATCTCGTTTTGTGTGTCTTTTGCAAAACAACACAGTTTGATGCACATGTGTGTGTACAATTCGTCTGCCTCCTAAGCTCACCCCGCGTATTATATAGGTATCGTGGAAAAATTGTGAACACGCCTGTAGACACGTCGGCCACACGGAAGTCCGCTTCCGCTTCGTGTAATCATGTACGTATATATATATATATATATATATATATATATATATATATATATATATATACATGGAATCATGTGACAGGCGGAGCAGGCAAATACAGATGCAAGTCATATCTCCAGCGGCTCCATCGACCTTTGCTTTATCTCTAGCGACTGCGTAAATTGCTGTTTACCGAGCGGCGACCTGTGTAACACCGCAGCCGATCACAAAGTTTTTACATACGGGATGTTCACCTCGTGCGAGATGCAAAGAAGAATGACCTTGAGCTTCTGGCCTTCGGCATCGTGAGTTCAGAGCTATTATGCTGATTGCACTCGACCTTTAGTATACAAGAGAGAGCAGTTTAAACTCCCAGCTCATACCGTCCTGTGAAAGGTCTGCACTCATGCCAGAGACGTGCGCGCGTGCGGATCTGTTCAGAGGTTCGCAAGCCAGTATTTACGCCGCGAGACGAGCGTTCGCAGACCCCGTTCAGAGGTGCAGCGATCAATACTCACGCCAAGAGGTGCTCATGCCATACGATATTCATACAATAAGGTACTCATGCCATGAGGTACTCGTGCCATGAGAACCCACGCCACGTACTCACACCAAGAGGTACTCATGCCAAGAGATACTCACGCCATGAGGTACGCACGCCATGAGAACCCGCGGATCTACTCACGCCATGAGGTCGCGGCTGCTCAGCAGGGTACGCGTGCGGGGGTCGAGCGCGTACAGCCAAACGTCCGAGTACCGCTCGTCCACCAGCTGACCGTCCGAGTGCGGCGCCACGCGCAGGATCCGCACATCGCCGCCGGCCATCTCGCTCAGACCCCTGGGGCAGGGCGCAGGGGGGAGGGGAGGTGATGATGGGATGGTTATGGTGTGGGGCGACCCAGGCAGACCGGGTGGTCACTGATTCGCATAGAAAGATAGTTACATGCACGCGCATTTTCCAAAGATATTATATAACATATTTTGTATGTCTTTTGGTATAATAGCTTTTTCACCATTGGCGCTACAGCTGGAAGTGCAGATTCTAGCGCGCGAAACAAACGAAAGTATACCTGGTATCAAGTTTCAAAATGGAGCCTCAAATCTAGTGCCAAAATTTACGTTTTGCGGTGCGCTTGCCTTTGATGTCGACACGCCACCTTACCTCGAATCATTATAAGCATCATGTCAAGCTTGCTGTCGCCATTCCATAAGCTCATAAATGCAAGCAGTACACGAAGGCAATCTCAGTGTTCATCTTGTAACGATTACCATGCGTGCAACAAAGACGTCGTTGATTGGGCGACAAGCAGCGCCATCTATTGCAAGAATGTCAGCGTTGTCTATAGTGTGAGCACCAGCGTCATCTATAAAAAGAGCACCAGCGCCGGCGATGAAGCTCAGCCGGCGCCATCTGTACCTGGATATGACGTCACGATTTTGCCGAATATGTTCGGAAGTCTGGTTCAGCTTTGCTATCATCATGTCCCGGGAATCCAGCACGTATATCTGCAAATGACAAATCTGTGAAATATCTGCATACCTCAATATGCATTGCATGCCTTTATATATATTGCGACTATTTGAAATGCAGCACACGTAGCCACAGCACGCAGGTAACACTAAATGGGCGCTGTGCAATGCTTACAACTGGGCGTACTGATGACATCTAGGTTCGACAAAAGACATTTAAAATGGCCGCCAGTTGCGTACCTATCTTTATGTGCCGCGTGTATTCCCCCATAAACATAGCGGTCTCTTTGCCGACCGTACCAACGTAAAGCGATACCGCTCGGCAAGGACGTCACGTTCTCCAGGGCACCCAAGCAAGAGGCGCTGAATTTTTGTCTTGGCTGAGGATGCATGGCAACTTTCGGCTCCTCATAATGTTCCGGTTATTCATCGATGCATACAGCCGTTCAGGCTATTTACACACTGCAAGGCCGGTGGCAGTTCCATGGAAGGGAGACCGAGCCTCAAACCATCCATTCCAAGCCCATCGTCTGAAATCCACCGGCTCCTTCGCCCCAGTCAGCAGCGCCTTCCATCTCCGGCACCGCAGACAGCAGCTCACCAGCCCCTTCACGCACTTCGCCACTGATGCTCCCGCTGCTCTTGCTACCCGAAAAGCAGAGGAGGCGGCTTACCAGAATCTTGGCGCGAGTGGTGTGGTTGGCCGTGTCTGTCGCGAGGATCTGGAGACGGTGGATCCTCTGCGCCGTGTCGTCCGCCCGACGCAGCAGCCACACCTGGTGCGCGGAGACAACGTGTGACGGCGAGAGACAAGGCGCGACGTGGAGGCAATTTGTCGTGGAGAGACAACGTTTGATGGGAGACGGCTCGTAACAGGGACCGCACGTGACGGGAAGGTCACGTGCAAGAAAAGGAGATGTGCGACGGAGAGGCCACGTGTGACGGTTTGGAGACTGACTGAGAACGCGAACGAATGACTGAGATACAAATATGAGTGACAGGAGGACAATCCATGCAGAACAAAACCTTTAACAGCGTGAAGTAAAGTTACGTAAGACCTTTATTAGGTATCACTGTCACTGTCCCCCTGTCACTTTGGTGACAGGAGGACAATCCATGGCGGAAGGTGACGTCTGACGGGGGCGGGAGGACTACTGTAGTTGAGAGATAAGAAGGCGGCATACTGAGATCACAGCGATGACCACGGCAGTAATACTGAGACCATATGCACGACGGCGACAGAAATACTGGGACCACAGGGGTGACTGATACTTGGCGAATGAAGATTAACTCAGCTGAGGAGACAACGCGTGGTTAAGGGACGCAGGGTGGCACACATAAATGACATGAGTGAGCTTTGGCTTCGGCATGCTTGCGCTATTCAGTCGCATAAGCATGCAGTGGAGATGTACTCCTGGTTTCACTTTATGGTTAAAACCAGGACACGTGTTCAAATCCAAATTCCTTTTATCAAAGCTTTTCAAAGCCATGCTGGTGACCAATATTAATCCAATAATGCAAATAGTTTTGAATCAAGACCACAACACACCTAAGCTTACCTGCCCGTTCGTCGGGTCTATGCTGTACATGGCCCGTACATGTCGGTCCGTGGCGTTGAGCGAGTATGATATATTGTCGTTTTTGTCGCCATCGGTTGCCTGAGAAATTCAAGTCGGATTCAAGTCGGATTCAAGTCGGATTCAAGTCGCATTCGTTCAGCACGGATTCAAGTGGAACAGAGAAGTCATCTACTGATTCGGGCATTTTGATATTATTCCGTAGTGTAATTCCTTGACGTAAGATGCGCACCACATTTGTCATCGGAAGTTGTACCGTTTTCAACAGGCATACAGTAAGGAGTACAATAACCACAGCACATGATTCCACAAATTTTGATTTGATCCCAGCAACTAGCGAAGATAATTGTCAACCAGCCCGTGTACCTCGTTACTTATGAAGCTTCACACGAGTCCACAGTGTCAGCGTGGTTGCGTTTGTAGGCAAGATGTACACACTTATGTGGACATCATATGACGCAGGTTTTTATCGCCCGAATACACCCGGTGCGAGGCACCACAAAATGAAACACCAACTGCCCCTTCGATGTGTTCAAAAGCTAAGGGGAGTGTTCCACGTATGTCTGGGGTTTTGAACTGGAACAGCTGAGTCACGTAACTTTCGAATCGCTCATATCTGGTGCTCGTCCGCACGACTTTCAGCTGTAACGACTGTCAATTGGCTCTCAGTTTATGCTGTGCAATGTACGATGACGGCGGCGCAGTCAAATAATGACGTGTTGAGAAGCATATTTAAGAAACAGAGAACTTGTGTTGTCTCAGGCAATCTCTTCCAATTAAAAGTATGCCAATAGCTATGAGGGAGCTCATTTCATCATATCTGATGCTTGCTTCAAATCTTCAAATGTGGAACATTCCCTTTAAGCTTAATGAATGCCAGCATCTAAATCGAGCGATTACAAAAGGGGGACGCCACCCCGATATGTCATCGCGGGCATGCGCACAATTCTGGTCAGCAGAACCCTACACATCCCCTGACCATCCCTTATTCACTCACCTCCATGTGCATGACTTCAAAGCCGTAACCAGCGTCGTAAGGCACGCCCACAATGGAGGGCAGATCGGTGACATTGAACCGCGGCCAGTGATCGTTCACATCCACCACGACGATCTTGATCAGGGCCTGGTTATAGCGTAGCTCGTCCGCGCTCGGTCCGCGGTCGGCGGAGTTCGGCGGCGCTCTGCGAGGCGACGGGGGCTGACCTTCAGCAGCCGGGGTCAAGTACGCGTCAGAGCTGGCCGGCAGCAGGTCTGTCGTCACCAGCAGCCACACCTCCCGCGTCTGCTCGTGGTCGAGCGGACCGCTCATTTCCAAGAAGGAATTGTTCGTGATGACGACGGCTAGGCGACCGGGCTGTTTGGTGCCGTTGACCGGATTCACCGTCCATCGGCGCTGCTGGCCGGAGGGGTCGAGCCGCCACGGCATCCAGATCTTGGCCGCTCGGGTGTTCTCCTCGACGCGGACCTCGTACAAGCGCCGGTCGAATGCTCGCGCCATTTCCACCTGGCTCCCTTCCGTGGCGGTTAGCTCCAACACGGCAAACGCGCGCTGGCTGGGCGAACCCAGGTCATAGGCCGCCAGGGTCAGGCGGAGAACGGTGCCAGCAGGCGAGGTCACATTACGCGCGGCCGTCACCGTGCCGGTCTCCGCGCCGATCACGAAGTCGTCGCTGGGCGTGAGGATCTTGAAGCGGACGGCGCTGTTGGTCGAGTCACTGTCAATATCGTAGGCGGAGACGTTGGCAACGACAGTAGCTCGGACCAACTCGGTCGGCGTGCGTATCTTGTACACAGCGTACGGCGCGTCCGGTTCGTTCTGGAGCCCGCGCGACGTCGTCACCACGTCCGCTGACGCCCGTGAAGACGGGGCTGTTGTCGTTGAGGTCGCGGAGCAGCAGCGTGACATTTGCGGCGGCACAGGATCCGCGGCAGGCGTCCTGTACGCTTCCTTCCAGCGGTAAGCTCGATGCCAGGTCGATGCACAGCTGGCGGCACGCCAGGATCGGCACGCGCGCCACGGTGGAGCGCTCTGAGTCCACTTTCCCCGACAGGAAGATTCGGCCGTCCTGGGTGATCCGATAGGAGCTGTCGCCGCTGGGGATGCTGAAGAGCACGCGGTCGCTCTCCGGCGACGTCGTCAGTTGTACCGTTCCCACCTCGACGTCCGTGTATTCTCCCTCATCCATGGAGAATGTCAGGTTGTGCTTGACCAGCTCGGGCTGTTTGACAAGCACCACGTCTACCATGAGAATCAGCAGGTCCTTCCGCTTGCTGCCCTCCTGCGACTGGATTCTGAGGACGACCTGGCCGGCACTGCGCAGCGGCCTTACCACTCGCACCAGGTTTTTCTCGAAGTCGATAGCGAAGTGTCTGCCACTGCCGGCTTCACCAGCTTCACCACCGCCTGGCCACACCTCCGTCACATCTCCTCCATCTGTAGAGTTATCATCTCTCCCTGCAGGCAGCGGTTGCAGGGAGATGCTTTCTGGCAGACGAAACACCACAGAGCCGGTAGGAAGACCGGAAGGGATCCGTTACCGTCGCGCGCAGCACGTCCGATGCATTAGCCCCTGGTGTCGACGTCAGCAGCTGTGCGAGGATCTGTGAGGACTCGGACAATGCCCCTCGAGCGAAAGTCACGCCGGTCCGTAACGTTGTCTGCTCGGCGACCTCCTTCATCTGGTCGTGTCTCGTTTTCGTCGCGACCGTGAGTGGAAGCACTCGGATCCTCGACCGGAAGGTCGCTCTTCGAAGCGAGACCTACGCTGCGGATCGTTGTGCCAGTCGCCGACCCTTTCAGTGCGCCTGAGGCCGCTCGCGGGGTCAGCTCCGTGACCTCCTCTACATCCGGATTCCTCCGAGGTTCCCAGTCCTCGATGCGAACGGTCAAGGAGCTGTTAGATCGCAAGCCGTCCTCGTCCGTGACTTCCAGCTCGCACTCGAACACTTCCCGCTCAAACTGAGTCGCGACCACGCTCACCAGCGCCAGGGCGCTGACTTCGAACGCGCCCTCGCAAGGCCGGTCGGCGGAACTCCAGCTCACTGCGCACCTCGTCCGCATCGCTGACCCTGATGGCCGGGGTCACGGTGGCCAGATCGCCAGCGGCGGCGTCGGCGGCCACGACGCCGGTGTAATGCCGGCTGCTGAAGCGCGGTGCGTTGTCGTTGGCGTCTAGTACGTTGACGGTGAGGGCGGCGGCACGCACGTGATGTTGCCGATGCCGTCGGTTACTGTAGGACGACGGTGAATGAGAGCTGACGATGCTCCTGTGGGAAACGCGGGTAGATTCAAGTTGCTGCAGTTGTTCGGCGCGGACTGTTCGTAAGTGTGAGTGGATTTCGCTGCCGACATGCTGGTCTGATACACCTGCAATTTGTTTCATGATATTGACTCATGTGTTTGCGCTAACCACGAGCTTGGACCGCACATTGGTGGCCCAGATGAAGGATGGATTAAAATGTGCTTCGAAGTAGAAGTATTTACCATTTAGTATATTTTGTTTTAAAAGTGCGTTAACTGCAGCAGTTGTTTGCGCTCATGTTTGCGCTAACGAACTGCCAGGGTTTAATTACGGCTTAATTGAGATGTGACTAGAAAGTCATGCCTTTAACACTAGTACCTTATATGTTCTGTTTATAACGAAAAAACATTCAGTGAGATTTGCTTATAAAACACCATTATTTTGGTACCTTCTTGCTGTAATTTGAACGGGTTTAATATGAGTGACATCGACATGGACGAACAATCCAGCTGTGCGAATCTGACTGGCCCTTCTGAATGATCGTTATCGTTAAAGATATGTTAAAATGAAAAGACGGGAAACCGGCAAATGCAAACGGCACACCATGGCAAAACATATGGACAGTTGTCATTGACAGGTTCAGCTGGCCGACGAAACATTCAAACAGCAGACAAATGCGATGGCATTTGCACAGTGCACACTGATGAGTGCAGCCGGCGGTCGGCAGGAATTTAAAACGGCGGACAATAGCAGCGGCATCAAATTTATGTACGCGCTGAAATGCTTACGTAAGAGTTTTAGGACTTATTTGTGAAGAAAAAAACTAGTGAATTATAAAACACAGTAGCGTGCCGCTTTTTGCAGCAATTCTTTTCATATCACGTACCTCAAAATCCAACGACTTTATCAGCCGAAGTTCTGCTTCGGAGGTTACTTGAAACGTGTCGTTTAGCGATGGATTCAAAATTTTTGCTTCCAAGAACTCTACAGGACGTTCATCTTCGTCAAGAAGCATGCCGACAGTGATGTTGCTGAGATTTTCCTGTAAACAGAGATAAATGAAGATCACAAGATCTATTACTGGTGTGATATCATGCAACTGGGAACTGATCGAAATTTATTTTGTTTCCTTGACATTACTTATTTATGTTCGACTTTTATCAGCCAGTGAAGAATGCCTTTCGTAAAAGCATATGAGCTCAGGATATGCTCCGCTGGCTTGGAATTCCTTCAGCATGCGCCAATTTACATGCAATAGTCAACCGAACAACCACGTGCATTGCCGTACCGTTACATTGAACGCTAGTGATGCGCTCTCGAATGATTCTTCCGCGTTTTCTGGTACGATTAAGATGTCGATAATAGATGTCGTTAGGTGCGTTCCGTCGGTAATGTCGATACCAAGGCTGTATTTGGATTGTTCTGTTTCATCCAATGGCGAAGAGACTCGAATAACCCCGGTGTCATTATCCACATCAAAGGGAACTGAAATAAAAGAATACACGAGTCAGCAACATTTCAGTTCAGCAAGCGCCCTTCACAACGGCAAATCGAGATGGCTAAGCATTACACTCAATCCTATTCTTACAAAATTCTGCAAACCGATGAGAGTAGATTGGCATGACAGCCAATTAACCTCACAGTGAATCACTCGACGTGGAACACGAATGCTCGCCTGTTGTTATCGATCGAGGGATGCATGCTAATGCTTCAATGCTATGAGATTAAATCTAAAAAGTTATTATGCATATAGCCGTCACATGTGGTTACATTTCCAGCTCCTCCACGAACTAAACAGAGTTTGAAAGGCCCTCACATGGAGCAATGTGCGTTTGGAATCAGAATGTGACAACTGGCCTGTCCTAACCTGATCTGAATGTGACAACTGACCTGTTGCATTTCTGAGTCGGAAGGTCAGGTCGTCTCCGTCGGGGTCTTCCACGACCAGCTGACCGACGCGTGACCCCGGTGTCACGTCCTTGCCCCCCACAGCCGCTGACCGGGTGGGACGCTGAAGCGGAAGTAGTAGCGTGCATGATTAGGTCTCGGGGCACACCGGACGGAGACTGACCGGACGGAGACCGGGCACACCGGACGGAGACCGGGCACACACCGGACGGAGACTGACGTGAGCTGTCACTTGGTCGCGTTGGTTGAGGAGAAATGCAACACGCGCCTAACGGCTGGAAATAGCCAGAGTTGCGAACAAACATCAGCGAATCAAACATCAGCGAATCACGTAACACGGTTGATCTGTGCGAATTACTACGCACATGTCAAATGACCATGATGATTACAATCGGCTGAGCTCTTCTTGCTCCACAAAGCTGTACCGTCCCGCATTCTAAATGGAAGCTGTGTTAAACTCGTGCGTCGGAGTTACCTTTCATATGTCTAACTTTATAATACGTCACAAAGGCAGCCTGGAAATCAACAAAACATTGAGCTACAAGCAGGTCTGATCCCGCGCTTAGAACTGAGCGTGAGTTTATGGTGCGATATCACCGGGTAAGCGTTTTCTGAAGTGAATGAGCCGAACTACATACTTTTGGTTCACCCTGTGATTATGACGTTGTTTTAGTCCATGACAACCCACGTTCACACGGAATTTCATCTCATTTCGAACATAATTTGAGCTTTGCAACGTGGTCCCGGCTCAGCGGTGTCAGAAATTGTTTAAAAAGCTCACAAACAGAATGCATCGTCAAAAATATGTCTACCATTCCGGCATGACCCTGGTTTGCCTTGAAAATTGACCTGCTCTAAACCATGCAAGGTGTGAGTCCCCGGGCCTGGCTGGTAAGCCCTCTGATTTCATCAGGACCTGGACATCCGGTAACCTCAGCAGGGTTGAACCGTGAACGAACCACAGCTGACATCTTTGACGCAGTCAAGTTCACTGCATGGTCATCTCCTTCGCCCCGTGATTTGACCATCGCGTCCAACATGACCTGACGGCGCAGATAGGTCAACCCGTGCAATTCCAAGGTGACCCGTGAACTGGCCATAGCCGACCAATGACCCGACTGTGTTGACCGGTAACCTGAAAAGAGATTGCCACGCAGCCTCACCAGAGGTTGCGTTACTATGACCCTGTGTCCCCCTATCTACCCCACGGCCTCGCCTGAGTAAGCCGGTGATCTGACCCGAGCTGACCTGTAACCAAACATGGGTTAACCCGTGACCTGATCAGGTTTGACCCAGTATCCTGATCAGTGTTCTTCTCATAACCTTGCCAAAGGCCAAACGATCACTGCAGCATGACCTGACCTGAGCTGACCCGTGACCCGACACGCATTTGACTCATGACCCGAACGGCGTCCATCTTTCATCCCCACTAGAGGCAGTGTACTCTGTAACCCCGATCAGCGAACATGTGGCCGGTTATGCATGTGAACTGCTCAGGTCACCCCGTGACTGAGCTGGCCATGACCTGACCTGGGTGGACGGACGTTTCTGACCCGCACCAGCACGGTCACCACAGCTAGCGCGCTGCGAGTCTCCCCGCGGGTGACCGGCGCGTCCTCCGCGCGCACGAACAGCACGTAGGAGCCGGCCTGGCAGGGGGCGCCGCTGGCGCAGTTCCCCCGACGAGGAGGAGATGGAGAACGCCGGCTGGCCTCCCGTTAGCGTGTTGTTCTCGAATGAGAACGTCACGCGGCCGTTGACGCCCCTCGTCGGGATCGGGTGGCTTCCACATGGTGATGGTGCGAGGCTTGGAATAAGGCGAGGGTCGCAATGTTGTGGGTAGCGTTATTTGCGTCGAAAGATGGAATCAGAATTGAAAGATAAAAATATCTCGAAAGAAGCACAACGAACATGTTGAGTTTTAGCGAACCCTGCGACTTATTGTGGCACCATATGTTCATGAAATCCAAGCTGTTTTGATGAAGAACTTGCTCTCATGTGCTTCCCAATTACAGGCATGGTACCCTACCCTAAATACACATTTTTCGTGATATAATACATTATATATATATATATATATATATATATATATATATATATATTATATATATACATATATATAAATGCATATATATATATATATACATATATATATAATAACATATACATATATATATATATATATATATATATATATATATATATACCAGGATAAATTAGGTATATCATGATTTCAGACACCCACGTGTGCGTACATGAACACCAACATCTCGTGGAAGCATACAAAAAAAAATGTAAATCGTTCCAGGTAGTGGAATGATACCTGATTATTATCACAATCCTGCAGACCATAAGCCGACATGTTTCACGCAGCAGCAAACGTTATGAATCAAAACCCTTCTGAAGCCCTTAAGCCACGTCTACATCGGGCTTATAGAATACGGTCTACCCTTTTCTTTAGGTACTGCTCCCTTTCGTGCGCATCAATTGCTTTTGTAACACCACGCAGCAACCACTACCCGTCCAATAACCCTGCGAAGGGAGCTATTGCCATCCACGACAAACTGGTACGTGTTCGTTGGTAGGAACTTCGGGTTGTTGTCATTCGAATCCAACAGATTGATGATCACCTTTGTGAAAGACCTTGATTGCCTTCTGAAAGAGCGGCGCGGCAGAGCAACATCATTTGGCGTTCCAACAGAAGAGCAATTCCCCAGTGAATTAGAAGGCCAAAATGACGTATCGAGACGAAATGGTACAAAGAGGGAAGGGATGGAGAGAGGAAGCTTTAGATCAAAGCAGCGAAATACTTCGTTTGCACTAAAATGATGCCTTTTTTAGTTATCCGGACCCCTAGCGCATTCTTATGGTAAATGAGAACTTTCTGATCTTACCTCAACACACTCGGAGTTAGTTCGTCGGCGTAAATGTCCAATTTCAGCTGCGACTGCTCCTCGCGGTCCAACTTGGACTGATCCGCCACCGTCAGCCATCTGTTACCGGGTTGAGTCCAAATGCTCCCGAGGGGTCGTCCAGGCTATAGGTGAAGTTGGCGTTGTCTCCCTGAGGCCCAGAGGCACATGTGTGAGATATCGACCGACTGATCATTCTACCTTTGCAGAGCTCAAGTGCTTTACACCTTTCCGCGAGAAGACATCCAGGTTCATTACGCTGAGGCATTAGGTGGATATCGCTGCATTTACCAAAACCGTAACTGTCTTCTGTTATCCTTCATCGCTGTTTCCAATACACTGTTCCAGCATGCCAGTGATGATTTGCTTGGCCGGTAGGCTTCAAGGGCCATGTTCAGCATCTTGATGCCTGCTCAACAATATCGAATCAAGCTGGTATGTTTGTAGCCGATGGTTCAAACTTGTGGTCCCCGGCATAGTGGTGGCATATTGCTGTCGACTTGGCAGCACATGGCTCATGTTGTTGTCATGTATTACCTTGGCCCACCGCCACACAGTTGCCGACTTTGTGACCATCAGAGGCCCACCACCACTTTTCCCTTGCTAGCATAGGTTGCCCATCACAACCGTCGGCTTACTTTCATCATTTTCCCACCACTACACTCCCACTGTATGCATTAGGTTACGAATCACCAACCCTCTTTTCACCGGCATCAGCTGGCATGCGGTCACCAACCTCACCTTGTCGGCGTCCGTGGCGCGGACCTGGACGATGCTGAAGCCCCGCAGCAGGTTCTCGATGATGCTGATGTTTGTAGCGGTCCACGAGGAAGTCGGGCCGGTTGTCGTTGAGGTCAGTGACCGTCACCACCACGGTGGCGCGCGCTGACCTTGACCTGTCGTCCGTCTTGCCACGCCTCGACCGTCAGCGTGACCTCGTCCTGAGGTCAGACAGGGCGTAGTGTCCAGTCGTGGCGCTTGGATTAGAGGTCAGCCGCTGTCGCGAGCGGCCGGCATTGTTCGCGGCTTCCGCGCCGACTTGACGCGCGCAAGCAAGGGATATTCAACGCGCCAAGTGGTGATGTCAACGCGCCAAGAGGGGATGTCAACGCGCCCAAGCGGGGAGTGTCAACGCGCCTAGAGGGGACGTCAATGCGCCGCCGACGCTTCCCCGCGTTGATGAATTGCTCAAGCTGAGTAAAACGAAGCCGCTGCCGGATACAGCTGGCGAATATCTGGGTCGGAAAAAGCGCAAGTTTTTAGGGTTTCACCACAGGTGAAAACGAATCTTTAGGGTACACATACGTGAAACGAGCTTCAACAAACCATTCGCACAGATGAGCATTCTTGTCGAAGTTGTTAGATATTGCCCACAAGCTACTTACGTTTTCTAACTGCTCGCGGTCGAAAGTTTCACCAGCGTCAGGGCGCCGGTGGCGGAGTCCATGCTGAAATGTTGCCCAGTGTTGCCAGATCGAATACGGTAGTTAAGCCGCTGGTCGATTGCCAGATCGCCGTCGTAGGCCAGGATTGGTGGCTCCGTGCGCAGAAGGAGCTGAAGGGATCTCATCTGAAAGATGTAATCTGTGATAAGGCCCAGTGCGAAAGAAAAGGTGAATATATGTTCGAAATAATATTGGCATAATATAATTTCGACCACATTACGATTTTACGTACTAGTCTTGTTGTCCATATGGCAATGCTTGTGCTTCATGCATTTTCCGTTTTTGATATTTTGTTATATTTGCCATTGTCACAATCACGAACACTACAGCGATTTTCAACAGCGTGCCTTACTCTTGCAAAGAAAACATTGTGTGACTTCATATTTATTTTGCAGCCATTCATCAGTGAATGTGGTAACCAGCCTGTAAGGCGACACATTTTTATACAGACCTAGCGAGTACAATCAAGATGCATTTGCTATGGCACGAATACCTTCCTGTGGCTGACAATAGTGGAAAGTAGATTGTGACCAGTGTGCTTGGTAGATATGCTTATGATAGCATCTGAAATGTAAGTATATATTTTATATCTATAGAAGATATTGATATGGAAAATATAGATGAGCTTAAGTAGATCTAAGCATATCTACCAAGATAGATGGCAGCAGTGCACATTAACTCGAGATGTCCACGATGGATTGCAGTTGCATACTGACCAGGTTGCTGAAGCCATCGGTAGATGGCAGCAGTGTGTACCGACCTGGGGGCCGGGATACTCGGTGACGCTGGCCCGGTAGATGGCAGCGGTGAAAAGGGGCGGCTGGTCGTCACCGTCCTTGACTGAGATCGTCAGCTGAGCCCGGCTTAGACGGGCCGGGGCGCCGCGGTCCTGTAAAAGTGCAACAGTTGTAAAAGTGTTTGGATTTCTGTAAGAGTTAGTGTGGGAAAGTCGCGCTTATTTCTGCAATAGGACGGGAAAGTCGCGCTTATTTTGTAAGAGTTAGGGCGGTAAAGTCGCGCTTAGGAACGCAAGGCGCGAGCTATATGGTAAATTGATTGATGTTAGACGATTTAGAACGGTTTTTTCAGCGGTATTTGCGCCAACCTCACATTTTACGTTGCAAAATTTAGTGCATGGCGAACATTCTGAAAGAAAAATCGCACTGGCGCTTACGTTGGAATCCAGCCGCGTCAAAAATATTAAAAACGACATTGTTGGCGGGGTGTTGGTCATTATTCGTATTATGTACCAACCCATAAGCAAAGCTAAATCCGATCTTCGACACGCTCTTTTCTGCAGGCAGCATAGAAGAAGAAGAAGAAGAAGAACAGCAAAAAGTCATAGGCAAGCAATGCGATCTTTATGGAAAGCTCCCCTTCGCGCGTTGGGTCATGGCTCGGTGAGTAATCACCCAACTACCATGTGGCAAACACGGCTGCCATATCGTAACGTCATCGTTTGAGAGTCGGCCATACCCCGAAGAAAAACCACCGTCACCTTGTGGCACTTTGCGAATTGCCAGTGCACGGTGTGAGCTCGAGAGATGTGAGATGTGAGCAAAGCAAACGTGCTTTGCTCAAACGCCAACGTCGTCAAACGTCATACCTCACAATCCAAGTCGTCACACGATATCGGTCTTTAGCAGCTGGGGGCTCTACCACAGCGTGATGTGACTTTTTGAAACGGGCAGCGTTCGTTTTCAGAATTGCAGCCAACCATATATAAGGCAATCTGATGACGTCACGCGTGACACTGCATGCACTACTGCAGGATGCGTGAATCGTTACCTCAGTATGAATGAGAATACGTCGCAGGAGAAGGGAGTGAAGAGAAACACGCGTTCTGACGTTTACAGCTGTCTGCACAGCCTGATATCGACGCATGAATGCCTGGTTACAGTCGCGCCATGTTAAGTATCACGCCTCGTCGTGGCCAGAGACGGTCCGCAGTAATTTACAGTGCTGTGCTGTACAAGTGGTACCTGGCAACTGCGCCCTTATTGGAAACACAGCTTGAATTACATGGAACCATTTGCTTTCTCGCTACGTCAAATGGCCCATGCCAAGCGATCGACTTTGGTCGATGGATGCATGACGTTCAGATTCGACACAGACCCACGCACAATAGCGCTCGACGTGCGAAACTAAAGCCCCTTTTGAAAATCATGTCCAGTTTTGAGGTGACATCAGCCGTCTTCTTCTGGAATCTGTCACATCTTACCGAAGCTGTGATGGTTAAATTCATTTCCCTGTCGCCGTTCTCAAAGTCGAACGGTTTCTCGAGTACGACTGCAGCGCCGCCTCGGGGTAGCGGCGACAAGCTGAACTTCAGATTCTCGTTGCCGTTCGATATCCAGTAGTAGATGTCGCTGTTAGCGGTGTTGGCCTTGTCCTTGTCCTTTGCCATGATGCCGTCGTAAATCACCATTCCTGTGCGACGAAAAGGCAAGAGATTGTCTTGTCACGTATAGTCGTCATTTAGAGTCTCGTAAATACCCAAATTCCTTTATGTTAGAATGATATGTCCAATACGGCCCAGCCATAAACACTTCAAGGAGCAACCCAGTGACCAAACAAGAAGCAGAATATCTCGCAGATTCAGATACGGCTTTTCACAGAACGCAGCACAGGACCGTCAGAGTTCTGATGATCACACTGAATGTATGAAATCTTCAGAGCTCTAATTTTTCCGAATGCATAAACGTTTCCAAGGATTTTAAAAGGTAACCACGTGAAATAGCATCGACAGTCATGCCACAACCACATAACACGTGTCCCGGTCATCTGGCCCTGGCTTTTGCGCGTGAGCTCCTCCACAGTGGTCTCGTTCGGACGTGATCTCGTCCAAAGAAGCCTGGTAGACGTGACTGATTTTTGGGCGTACGCTCGTTCACGGTAACCCAGTACGCGTCACTGAACTTGTGACGCGATCTTGTCCAGAGGAATGGGTACGGGATACTGACCTTTTGGGGAGATCTTGTCTAAGGAAATGGGTACGGGCTACTGACCTTTTGGCGCGATCTTATCTAAAGAATGGGTACGGGCTATTCACATTTTGGGGCAATCTTGTCTAAAGAATGGGTACGAGCAATCTTTAAGGGGAGAGCTCGTTTTCAGGAAATGCTACGGACAACTGACCTTTTGGGGTGAGTTCGTCTACAGTGACCTGGTATGGGTCACCGACGAACACCGGGGGATGGTCATTGACGTCTTCGATGTAGAGTGTGACCAGCAGCGAGTCCGAGCCCTGCAAGCAGAGTGGGGACGTGATGAGTAGGGGTAAAGCGGTCGCAGTGCCTACTTCGTGGTTGATAGATCCTAGATAGGTTTCCGTCCAAGCAAACTATTACTACTTGCTATTACTAAATTACTACTACTTACTGCGCTGAATTTCGCAAAACCGTGGGCGCTAATGGCATGGCCGTCACGCGCATCGATGAGTAAACCATCTTGCTTTCCGCATGTATTCTTTAATGTGCAGCAAACCGTAGTGTCTGCTCGCACAGACCGCAACTTTCGGTGCCAAAAATACATTGACGAGTGCTTTTGAGGTGGATAAGAAGTTGTAAAGGCCGCACACCCCTTTCGGAACAGTTGTCTCAGATCTTCAGTGGACGTTTGACACCTGATGACAGCATATTGTTTTTTTAATTCGCCATTAGAGAGCATGCATGCATTATGCAGCAGCTCGAGCAAGCGGGTGATCGGAACGAATGCGCCCGAAGCATGCAGATATTCAGCTGCATCTGCGTTTGACGTGAGCTGGAACCTGATTATTATCCAACCAAACTGTCTTCGAGAAACGCACGCCACGGCCAGATTCCTATCATTTGCACTGCACAGGCGTCTCGCAATAGCACAGAGGAAAACACTGCAAGGAAAAACAAGCACCAAAAAGCATTGCAAATACATCGGAGTAAACGTGTTCTATGTGCAGGCACGTAGTATTCCTTCTGCCGCAATTCATGTTGGCTGATGTTTTTTTTTACCAAGCACATGGGTTTCACAAGTTTTGTCTTAACTCACGGTTCTGCAGTTGAGTCTTTGACGTTTCAAGGAGTACTGGCTGTTGCGTCACATCACCTGATAACTTTCGAACGGCCGTGTAAGGTTATCAAGCCACAAATTGCACGGATCAACATGCGCGCGTCGCCGAGCCTGCACCGCAGCGCGTGCCATTCTTCAGACCGCATGGTCACGCCCATACACGGCAAAATCTTCATTTTTGCTTGTCGTTGTCATGCGTTCCGTCTATCGCGTCTTCTGTCTCGAAAGCTCCTTCACTGGCTTGTGCCGAGGTAATGTCAGGGAGGTATTTCTGTCATTGCGGTGACACTGCTAAGTTGATTGCTCAAACTGGTTAAGGATCTGCATAAATCGCACATGTTCACTAGATGTGTTGTGCATAGGTCGCACATGGTTACTTGATGTATTGTTATACGCACTGTCATCGACTTTTGGAACGGAGCCTTGCCGGACCAGTGATCGTCACGAAATCCACCCTGACAAGATAGGCGCATTGATTGACCTTTTTAACATCTTAACGATGTCTGCACGGCTACCACATTTAGCGAGTGCTGAGTGCCCCTTTACAAGCAACCCGGTCATAGCCTGTATAAATTTGCAAGGGTGTTTAAACAGCATATGTGTTAAGAAAGAATGCAGAAATTGAGACCTAAGAAACTGAGGAACTAATCCAAAAGCACAGAGGTAAAAATAAAAATTAAAGTGAGAACTGTAGCGGTGACTTGTTGAGTTCTTAAGCTCACTTATAACGTTGTCAGGGTAGGTCAGCATTAACAATTCTGAGTAACGAGGCAGAAGTCACGCCTTTTCGAAGCCGGCACTTTCCAACAACACAACAGTCCCAAGTCGAAGAATCGCAACATAACACGCTGAACCAGATTCACGACGAAAGAGGATTATGACCGCTCTTAGGCTGCAGGTCAGCGGATGTTAATGACCTTGTTTGTCTCCAAAATGGTCCTTGGCCTATTTGACATGACCACCGTGCCTCAGGATTATCATTGGTTACCTGTCCCATGCTCCGGGTGACCATTTGTCGCCCCTGAACCGACATTTCAAATCAAGGTGGCCCCAAAAGCCTACCGAAATAACTTTGAAACATTTATAATAAATCATGAGTATTTCAACGGTTGACCTTCACGAGGACCATTCCTAGGAAAAGACATGCACAACGAATGCATGATCCAATTGGTCAAATGGCACGGTACTGTCTTCAGCCTTATATTTTGTTTCGGGGTCCCAGGCGTGCCCCTGGGCTCACATGCCCGTCCCCCCCCTCTTTCGATGACATGGTTCTTCAAAACATCACGGCATGCTTTTAATCTCAGCATCAGCCTTCCACCCTGGCGATGTTTATGTTTTACTTATCCCTCTCTGTGTCCCAACTCATGCCTCCGCTGTTTATCAGTGCTTGCCTATGCCCCTGTGAGTATCAGACTGCCCTCGTTCTCCCAGCCCCTGCTGCGCTGCCCCATCCCATGCCCTGCTCGCACTTGCCCCTGTCCCCATCCGTCTATTCCCTTGTCTATCCATGTCCCTGCCTATCCCCGTTAAGCCTGTTTGAATCGTGTCTCCGCTCTGCCTGTCCCTGTTCCCAGACGCCAGTGTCATGTCCATGTCAGTCCCTGTCCCTGCCCATTCGCGTCCCTGTATGCTCCTAGCCTTTCGTTGTTTGACCCGGCTTATCTCTGCCTTGCCAGTCACTACCACCCTTTGCACGCACCAGTCACCGATCCCTTCGCACCCGTGCCCTGCCCTGCCCTGCCCTGCCCTGCCCTGTCCTGTCCTGCCCTGCCCTGCCCTGTTTGCTCTGCCCTGCCCTGCCCTGCCCTGCCCTGCCCTGTCCTGCCCTGCCCTGCCCTGCCCTGCCCTGCCCTGCCCTGCCCTGCCCTGCCCTGCCCTGCCCTGCCCTGCCCTGCCCCTGACCCTGGTAGTCTCCGGTCGCGGCGCGTCCCGTCGTGACGGTGCCTCGCGCGGCCGTCACGGCCGTGGCCCGCAGCGTCACGTCGGACCATCACGTGCGTCACGCGCCGTGGCCGAGGTTACGTGCGCACGGTGTGACGCCCCCGAGTTGTGCCGGGCTCGGAGAGGACTGGGCGGCGGTCGGGAGATGGGCCAAGGAAAGAGAGGCGGGGTTTGAGGACCATTAGGGGATGCATGCTGCATGAGTGCGTACATGCTTAGGTGTATGTGAGTGTGTATGATTGACTATAGTGTATAAAGTGAGTGTGTATGGGAGACTTTAGTGCATATGATGAGTGAATATAAGTGAATAAGGTATACATAGTGAGTGTATATGAGTGAGTACAGTGCACATAGGTATTGTATATGGGTGGCTATAGTGCATATAGTGAGTGTGTATGAGAGTTCGCGGGATTTTTCAGTTATTACGCATGGTGAACGTGGTTCGAGGGAAACGCGGGTTTCAAGCAAAACCTAAAGCTCCAGTGAGTATTCCTTGCTTTGCACAATTGGAGTTGGTTGTGCTCGCCTGAGTAATGAAACATCAAATGCTACTTTCGCTACTCAATCTCATTGATCATGCTGAGGCGCGTTTTGTGCGCCACAGCTATTGGTGACGAGTGCGCTGGTCTTGATATTGCCAAAGCGTTTGACTGGCGGACGTGAATGCCCACAATTGCATCAATTGGTCAAATGACACGCATGGTCGCACTAACCACGGACGTACTGCAAATAAACTGCAAATGGGTGAAACTTTCGGTAAAACCTATGGATTGTTGAAATCGTTCAAAAGCGTTCAAAGAACCGGTCTCAACAAAAAAACTTTCAAATGTTTGTACACCCCACAGGAAGACCAAGCTGAAATTCCAAGAGGAACCTTTGTAACCTCAACACCTGCCGGATAACGAATATGTAGACCTTTAAGCATTTGGCATTTTTGGCCCTTTCGATAGGCAAATCAACACTTCTACTTAATCTCATAGTGCTGTTGCAGTTGCGGCACAGTTGCAGCACAATGGCGTTACCGGCTCTCATTTTTAGGATACTTCTAGGTAATGCTCGCTTACCAAGTGGCCAGTGTTTAACTTTGCCTTTTAAGGAAATCAGAGCTTTTTGAAATTATGACAGCGAAAGCAGTGAAGACGTGACAAAACTATGTGGCACGGGACGCCTGACAACGACTGGCAACAGCTACAGATGTCATGTGAATGATGTGAACTGTGAGGCGGCGCCTTTGAAGAGGCGGCGCCTATTCCCCGTATGAAGCTCCCAAATATTTTATTTCGGTGTGCTCAAACCTTTCAAATATTACAAAGAGCATGTGCTTAGTATTATGCATGACGAAACGAGTTCAAGAGCAGGCAATGTTGCGTGATATCAGCCGACAGTAACTATACGCGCCGTGAGCATGACACCCCTGGTTCAGTGAACTACAGGTGGCGTGAGGCTGCATGAGGACACGAACGGCGTTGCTTATTATCTCACAAAACATTCGTCGAATATGGAAGCGCACTTTGAGGGCGTGGCCTACGGAAACCATTTACGTCTTCAGCGTCTCTCATCGCTAAATTACCGTGTCAGCGCATGTCATAAGCATCCAAATTCGCCTGCCCTCTGAAAAGAGCGGCGGCAACAAAAGGCCTTCGACAAACAATCCCCGACCAGTCTCACATCGCCGGTGTCGCAGAACACAGCAGGTCTTTAACGTCTCCCGACCCCAGTCATCGGACACCGAGGGAGACCCGTGACAGCCACGCGCCGGAACCGCTGTCGCTGTTCAAACCAGCGGACCGAAGGAGTGCCGCAGGGGCCTGTCGTAGGGCCGCACCGATTTTCCGTCACGGCGAGGCGTGCGTCCAATGTTTGCGGACGGGCTGTGCTCATGCAGCTGGGTGTGATAGGGAAAATGATGAGTCCTTCTTCTAGGTCTTTGGCTTTGGGACTAGAGTGAAATTATAACTGCTAGTGCCATTTGTATGCCTTTTCTTTGAGATGATTTGCAAAGATAGAACAGAATCAAGTTAATCCATACCCCTGGTGCTGCATGGAATTAGCCTCAGCTTCTGGTGGATGACACCATGGGGTCATCGATTGTGCATTAATAGGGGGTATAACTTAGAAAAGGGGAAATGATCTTCATGCTACAATAATTATATGGTAAAGGCTTCTTCAGATAATTTAGCCGACGGTCCTGAATTAGTTGTGGGGAAAAAGGGTAATGCATTGGCCACGCGCTCCCCCCCCCCCCCTCTCTCTGAG